GTTCAAATCCTGTATAATCGAAAACGCTATTAAAATATCGCACATGTATCATATCTTCGTGAAAAATAACTTAAAAATATGTTTGGTCAACCTGCAAAACCGTATAATGCATACTTAAAAAACTGAATCATGCTTTACACAAGTTACTTGAACATACCTTAAGATTCGCGGTTGATCGCGGTGCGATCGCGAACGCACTCGACCTTCGCAGGTTTCGTGCAGCGCACACTTTGACGCGAAATATCGTATCGTGCAAGTAGGCAGCGGTGTGGCAGGGATAGCGTGACAACAGCGGAGAAAGTGCAGCCTTGCGGTGTGTTTGTTTTGTTATGATTCGCGTCCGCATTGTCGAGGCTAAGTCGTGATACGGTTAAGAAAATACTTCCAGCGCAGAGAAGCAGATGATTCCGATCGACGAGTGAGATCCATGAGAAAGCCGACGCGGCGATTCTACGCACCGCAGCACGATGCGATAGCTTTCACCAGAGACAGGTGCTCGACGACGTCGCCGTCGAAGTGGCGGCGGTGGTGGTGGTCCGTCCGCGACTTGCAAACACGGAAGGAAGCGTGACAGCAGCAGGGCGAGCGTCGCTCCGAGGCTCACCTGCAGTATGCTCAAGGTTTGCAGACGGGTTCACATTTCACAGGCGGATATGGCAGCAGGTGAGGCCAGCACGGCGAAGCCTCGTCAAGAGAAACAGTACGATTATCTGCTCAAATTCCTGCTGGTCGGTGACAGCGACGTCGGCAAGCAAGAGATCTTGAGCGGTCTCGAAGACGGTGCTGCAGAGTCGCCGTTCTGCAGTGGCAGCGGTATGTTTCTTTAGTTTTGAAAAAATCGTCAAGTTTCTCCTCGATTTAATCCTGTTCGCGAGAAAAATCTGATTCATTTTATTGGACAATAAAAATATTAATCTTTGCGTAAGAAAATGTATCAATATTGAAAACTTGTGCGGAATAATTTGTATATTGTTTTGATCTCCGTCGCAACAATTTTTTTCCAAGATTTGTTTTGTTATTTAAGAGACTGATTATTTCTACATATTCCTTTTCAGCTTACAAAACTACCACTATTCTGTTAGATGGAAAACGAGTAAAGTTACAATTATGGGATACATCTGGTCAAGGTAGATTCTGCACAATCATTCGGTCTTACTCCAGGGGTGCTCAAGGTATTCTCTTGGTGTATGACATAACCAATAAATGGTCCTTTGATGGCATCGATAGATGGCTGAAAGAAGTGGAAGAGGTTAGTAACAATCTTAATTATAGCTCCATTATTGTAACACGACGAATCACTGACAAATTCAAAATATCACAGCATGCACCTGGTGTGCCGAAAGTATTGGTAGGCAATCGTCTTCACTTAGCTTTCAAGAGGCAAGTGGGAGAACGAGATGCGGAGGCTTACGCTGCTAAAAATCGAATGGCGTTTTTCGAAGTCTCGCCTCTCTGCGACTTCAATATCCGAGAGAGTTTCTCGGAACTGTCACGCATGGCGTTGCACAGAAACGGCATGGAAAGATTATGGCGCTCGAATAAAGGTAACAATAGCGATCTGTTCAAATTTTTCTGGCAAAAAAGAGACGGAATAAAATGGTGTGCCGTTTGTTTGCAGTGCTCAGTCTGCAAGAACTGGCGTGTCGCGCGATAGTGGCTCGAACGACGGTTTACAGTATCGAACAGCTGCCATTGCCCAAGTCGATCAAGTCGTACTTGAAATCGTACGCGATGACAACCACGTCCCAGCTGCGCTACAACGGCAACCGTTCGCTGAGCTCCAGCAAGAGTCTCGGCTCGCATCATCGGAAATTACGCTTCGTCGGGGTGGGCCACAACAATGGACTGTCGACGCCCGGCAGCTCGCCCGGCAGCATCACGGACTCTCGTACGAGTTGCGTCGGCCGCAACTCCTGCACGGTGTCTTGAAAGTAGCAGAAGGAAGAAATCAGGGTAGCGGTTACTTACAAAACGACATGCAGCAACCAGCGCTCTTGCTCTCCCCCTTTCGCCGTTCTGTCGAGAATTACAAGCGCGTTTCCCGATGTTGTTTTATAATTGATAGCAACTAATCGTTAGATCATTAGATTGAGAGTAGTATATATAAAAATTCCGATTTGCCACTTGCCAACGTTGACGACAGATACTTGTTGCGTTTATTACGAGAGACACATATTTCATATTGCATATATATTTTCACATTCGCGAATTGTGCACAATGTGACGATGAACGAGCTTAAAGAGAAGCAAACTGTCGTATATCCGTGCCATCGGTTGTCCGAAATAGAGAGAGAGAGAAGAAAGAAAAAAAGGAGATGCGTACGATGTGTAAGCAGAAAGAAATGCTTAAATATTATTAAGTATCGTCGATCGCAGAGCTCGTACGACTTTCCATCGCGTTTAGGATTACGGAATAAAATACGCCCACACATATATCGATCGATATATACGCGACTCGAGTGTGCCCATACTTTGAAGTTCTTGTAAGTCGCTTTAATTTGTTTGGCCGTTGTTTGAAAAGCATCCTCCCCCCCCCCTCAACCCCTCACAAACGTATCTCTGAGCGGAATGGTTTTTTTTTTCTTCAATTGTAAACTTACGAAAGCAGCGAGTGTAATGAACTGAAAAGTACAAGTTCGCTAAGTCTACAGTGGTTGTGGCGTAGACTAATGATGATAGCGTAAGTGTAGAAAGTCTAGAGCAGCTAATTCAGGATATATTAGCGATATATATATACATATATATATATATACATGGACGAGTCTGAATATATATTTTCAATTACTTGTCCTCGCGGAACCTTTTTACTATTAGAATCTACCGATTGCCGACCGCGGAAGAGCTATATATTTTTTAAAGGAACGGTTTTACAAAGAGCAATAAATTGACTCTACGGCACGAATTTTTATATTGTATCGATCGGATCGATCGGATTTCTTCAATGTTTTATTTGTTCTTTTCGTGTGAATTGCGAATCACGCGGAGGGATTCGATCTTTTTCTTCGCGTCCGGAAATTCCTCGATTGCGTTATTTAAAAAGTATTATCTTATTTAATTTCACCCGTAAGTGTAAGGATAAATTAACTTGTACAGTGTATGATTGCAAGAGATGCGTTTGTGTGTGTAATATATATATAGATAGAAAACACACTCGATCTCTAAACGATATATCTGTAACAAATCAACTCGATGCCAGGAAAGCACATGAGATGTATTTATATTACGTTAGACTTAATTAAATTATATGTGTATATAAAAAGAATTATTATATTATAATATTGTTTTATATAAATATAACACGATGTGCTTACTTGTCTGTGAGATGTATTAAATAAACTTAACTTCACATTATACACTATACACAATGCATGTAATCAGTATGTAAAAAACTTCAGGTAAATTTCCTACTTTGTAATTTTTTTTTTCTTCCGATAATTGCTTCACATATATATATATATTTTTTGTTACAAAAGAGAGTAAAAGTTTTTCGTATACGGAGGAGATCTATTTAAGGGGGCCATGTGAAAACATTCAAAAAACAAAGGGAGGAATGAAAAATGCCGTCCCGTTTGCCAGAAAATTTGCTTCTAATTTAATAGTAAAACATTTTGTTGTAAGATAGAAAATAGAGAGCCTGTTCTATACGCTTCTTGCTACATATGGTAAAACGCATTTCTAATTCTAACCATTAGTTACAGTTAGTTAGTTTAATCAATTTTTTTTTTTTTATTGAATTTAATGAAGTTGGCGAAATATTCTCCATATTTTTTGGCAACGTATTATAATATTACTTTCTTATAATCTGAGTACTGCAACTTTCACTGATCGATATATTTCCACTGGAACTACAGTGGTTCTAATCGTAGTGTAATAAATCGTGACCTGACTCGGATTTATATTCGATTATAAGTACTATATTTTCTGTGTTCCAGTTTAAAGCACGTACGGTTGTATAGCAAAAATAAATCAAATATTTATGGACATATGCGTGTAATATAAAACAAACAATCCCTTTGTAAACAAGTACGGAGGAAATGCGCCGATTGTTATAAAATAAATGTTATACTTCCCGTTGTATATTGTTAAAGCGAGATCTCGAGCTAAATTCGATTCGAAGTTAACGGAATTCCGCAGCTTGCAAAGTAAATTGTGACGTTGTATTGAAAGAATGCAACTCATCAATCGATATGTGAAATTTTGCACAGTTTTATGAACGATATCAATAACTGTTAATATAAAGATACTCTCCTTAAAGAAAGACGCGCGCGATACACAACAATATTAGCTTACAAAGGACATGATAACAATAGATTATTTTGTAAAGATCGACTTAACATAATTAACAATGTCAGTGTACTCCCTTAAGGGTGTCTGATATTATATTAAATATATATATATATATCTTACATATATGCACTACGTTTTCCGATATCCAAAGTGACTGTTTGCTACACGAATTAGATTCGGTATGCGCTTCTTCGTAAAAAGCATATCGCTCTATTAGTTTTTTTTTGAGTATTTAGACAGATTATTAGTACAAATATAAAAGAAAAAAAAAACAAAATTATTAGTCAACAACGCTGATAAACATAATATCGAAAATAATATAGAACAGAATATAGTCTAAAACATCAACATCACTGATGATTAAGACCGGTCTCGTAAACACGACATGCAAATGAAAGCTGTAGTATGCCAATACAAATCTCGGATAAGCTATACATTAGTCATTACAGCTCATAAACTTATATACATCATATGCTTACATTACGATAATGCTTATCACAACAGTGTACTATTTCCCTATGAGAATTGATATATTTCATCAATGCTCAATTAAAACATGAAGACAAGTCTTATGAACAGCCAACATGTGTCTAGTATCTATTGTTAAAATCAGGTATACGTATATTTTATATGTATAAAACATTAGAGTCTGACAAAGAGATTGACTGCATAAAATAAATAAATAAATGTCTCCAACGTAAAATATATTGATCAACTCTCGATATCTCGAGAGGCTTGATCCTTTCTTTAAATAGTTTTCGCGATTATCTCATTTCCATCTTTTTTTTTTACGACATACATACAGCTTCATTCAAACAACAATAAAACACCCGATCTTTCATTATATAGCAGACAGATCTCATAAAAATATTCTAACATGGAATAAAAAGAATCTTACTCATAAATGGCATAATTATTTTTATTGCTTTCACTGAATTCTTAAAAACGATTTATTTTGACGTTATGCCGTCATGCACACATATTCGTTACACAATGTTTTAGTAAACGATCAAAATTCAGTAACTTAAAATATTGAATGTTTGATGTATTCACATTATAAAATGAACATAAACAAATATTCTAAAATTTTTATATTGCATTGCCGAATAATCAACACCAATAATTTAAAATGATAATCACCACATAATTTATTTCGAGAAAATTTTACAATCAATCAATAAGATAATCAATTCACATCATTCACGAAATATAGGCACTCCAATCCTCATAATTTTTCCTCATGACATATATAGTCCAATTCTATAGTCAATTAAAAGAATATTAACAAGTTTTCATTTTATCTTGCCGTAAATGTTTCAGTACCGCGAGGAGTGTCACAATTAATAAACACATTTATCATGAAATATCTAATGAAATTTATAGGGTGACTTTTTTATGAGATCTGTATGCTAAAAGAGAAAAGATGTGAATATCGTAAGATTTCTCAGCAAAAGTATCGACTTCACCTGAACTCATAAATCTGTATACTGTGTTCTGGAACATGTCTTAGATTCAGAGACTGATACCTGAAACAATACAAAATTATCTTCAATTATTCCATTAATTATTTATTTAATATACTTTTTCTAACTTGCATTTTTAATCAAAGATTAAATAGTACAAATTAAACTAATTTGTCTAATTCTTAACTTGTGATGACACAGAGATTCGTATTATTTTACCATTCAGAACTACGATGATAATAAAAGCCTTCTATCGTGGCGGCAGATTTCTGGAAGCAAATATAGTAGAATCCTGCAAAGGAGGCACCATTGATATCTTTGATCGTGTGATCAGGAACTAAAAAATGTTCCTTCCACCTCATAAATACGAAATCTGTCCCCTTCAATGCCTCGTAATCGAACGTGTCAGAGTTGAATGTTTTGGCGTATTGACAGAACGATTCAAATTTACTCTGCAAGAAAAACATGATAGTGATACAATGGATGATAAGCTATAAATAGCTCGAGAGATAAATATTAACACGAACCCAATGTTTCTTGTCAACATCCTCATCTGCATCCCACTTGCGGGTCAAGAACGGATACTTTTTGGAGATAATTTCACCGTCGAAGAATGTTGTTAACGTCGGGAATTCTTCCGTCAAACCTTTGATTTTTAGATATCCGCATAGGTAACTGTTTTCTTCGTCTACATGCTGCAACATGAAGTATCATAACATAAATACAGGAAATCAGATCTAACATGGGCAATCAATTACAACCGGCGTTTTCTGCATCGTCTCAACAAGTCTATCAGCACTAAGTCAACGTTATTATATTATCTTGTGCGGCTTTACATTAACTTATACCGTACGTCACGTAGCGGCATTTTCTGTTGTTCTACGTGATCCTACCCAGAAGAGATACAAAGTAAAATAAAAAGCGTGGTGCAGAGCGATCGTTTCACATGTGACCGTCGTCAGTCGTCTCCGCGCCCACCACGATAAGGGTGGCGCATTCTCCAATTTGTGGCGCAATTTCCGAAAAGTGACGAAACAACGACATCGGGGACGTGGTGCGAATCAGAGAAGAGGGGGAGGAAAAGAGGAAAGGCTAACCTGTAAAACCACCTCCACATCGTAACTGTTGCCCTTGGACTTCTGCGAGCCCTGAAAGCGCGAGCCGTTGTAGAGCAGAGACTTGGTGACACCCGGCTGTTTGGAGTTCGCGGGCGGCGGCGGTACCACGTCGACCCTCACCGGCATCCTCGAGCGGCGCACCGACGAGCGTACCAGCAGCACGATACCCAATCGCTGTTTCACGACGGCGACGACGGCGACGGCGGCGACGACGACGACGACGCGCGCGACGCGGCGCCCCGCATATCACGATAGAGAGACCGTGTCGCAATGACTGCCGGTAATCCGCGATATATGAACGTTTTTATACGCGAGCCTCGAACCCAGACGACGTTGGCTGCACGAATTTACATATCAGTTTCGTGGTCACCGTATGCACCGGATTGTCATTTAACGTATCGAGGCCTACGTTGATATTATTTCTCGCGCAAAACGAACGCACGAGCACCCGTCGCGCATCGCCCATACCTGTGTCCACTCAAAATAACGAGCGCTGCGAAGCACTGAAACTTCGCGTGTTCAAAATGGCGACTATTCGAATTCGAATACTACACGAATGTCTATTGGATGGATACGATCGAACGACGTATTGAAAATATCGTCAGAAATACCGGTAATGATCGTTGAAAAGTATTCGGATTGCGTGAATAACACGTCTAAAGAATATTTTCTTAAATACACGTTTTATTAAGAATAAATTTGAACGCGTCTTCGCGCCGCAAAGATTCAAATTATTGCTAGATATTTTCGAAATTACGATCGACGTACGAGCTCGAATGTAGTTGAAAATTTACGTCAAATATTTATGAAACACTTTGGATTGATGCATTTATCTCCAAATATTTGCACTCATGATTTAATGTCGAATTTATTTTAGACGCTGCATTGATTAGCGCATCATTTGCATCTTAAGACGTCATTTGCGTCTTAAAACGTCCTAAAAACGTCTAAATGAGACATTTTTAAGATGTCCTAAAAACGTCCTTAAAAAGACATCTTTAGGACGTCTTAAAACGTCCTAAAAAGACGTTTTTTAATTTTTTTTAACGATTGGTCTTTTTGAATTTGCAACAAAAAACTTCCAAAAATTTTAAAAGAGACGTTTTAATTATTTAAGTATTTTATGAGCATCCTAACACTGTGAAAATTATGTAGAAAAATTAAGATTACCCGCTGGAACGACCAGAACAGAAATGCTTTATTTTAAAAAATGTTAACAGGAACACATGATAAAAAGAGCTTGTAATTCATAAGTGCCATCTATTGATCAGCTAAAGCAACATTACGAATGCATTAATGGTAAGTGTACCGACGAGTGCAGTTAAGAAAGGAGACAAAAATAGCATGTCCGCTCTTTTCTAGTGTCCGAAACTAGCCGAAGCGCGGAGCTTACATGTACGTGACTTGCACATGTGTACGGTATTCCCTCCCTCATGCTGCTTGCTACTGGCGTCTCTGATCTGGCGTCACTGATCCAATCCGATCTGGCTTCCCTTAATGTCAATTGATGCCAATATAAGTATGGCGAATTTCAGCGATACGAACTCGCACGAAATGACAGAGAATCATGTTAGTAAGCGGTGCAATAATCAGTGGGTGCGACTGAATGTTGGTGGAACGTATTTTTTAACAGCGAAGACTACTCTGGCGAGAGATCCCAACTCGTTTCTCTATCGGCTATGTCAGGAAGACTCGGACCTTATTTCGGACAGGGTTAGTTGACATTGTTTCTTACCGGGAATTTCAAAAAAAAACATTGCATTAAATCACGTTCACGGGACGCTCGCGCTTTGTGCGATCACTCGAATGAGAAACAATTTAACCTGTCTGCGAGAATTTCGCCCGAACTCAAGTGGTCGCTTTGTTTTTAAGGACGAAACGGGAGCATACCTGATTGACCGCGACCCCACATACTTCAGTCCAGTTTTAAATTACCTACGCCACGGAAAACTGGTGATCAACAAGGATCTAACGGAGGAGGGTGTACTAGAGGAGGCGGAATTTTATAACATCACAGAACTCATTCGGCTAGTCAAAGAAAGAATCATATTGAGGGACACTCGGCCGCAGAGGGATTCGAAGAAACATGTCTATAGAGTTATCCAGTGTCACGAGGATGAGTTGACACAAATGGTGTCCACAATGTCGGACGGATGGAGATTTGAACAGGTATTACATACATTCTCTTATTCAATTTACAAACTTAATCGCACAATTGTATAATTTTCTTTCCCATATTGTTGGCGATGTATAATATTGTTTTCTATCCTTTTAGCTAATCAACATAGGTTCTCAATACAACTACGGTAATGACGATCATGCTGAATTTCTATGTGTTGTAAGCCGAGAAACATATACACAATATGGAGCTAGTCAGCTCAATAGTAAAGAAGAGGAGTCCACAGATCGTGTCAAGGTACCGCTATCCTATTCGACTGTTTCTCATCCTTATTTGAGTCAAAGTAGCCATGGCTAATGCGATCGTTTTGTTTTCGTTATGTCCTAAACTGATATATAATAATCATAGATTTATTAATTGCGGTTCAATCACGTTCTTACTAAATATCTTCACCGTTTGAGTGAAACTAGGTATCCTAAGTAATTTGTGTTAGTATATTGTTTTCTTTGTTGGGTTGCATGAGATATTTAATGAAGCGATAGATATCTAACTACTTCAGTTGGGAGTGCTTTCCGGTTTGGAAGAAAGGATTGGGTTACAAATGAAATTTACAAGTGCTTCGTTGCCACAAGTGGGGGAAAGTAATCCTGTGTTCTTGCAATCCAACATTGACTTATTTGATTGCTAACACTATTATGAAATTAAGTAACACATTTTTATCAATTCTAATTGAATTAAATACACTAGTATTATTTTTGGTATTAACAATTTGCCTAATACTGACAGTTGGGTTGGGTAGAAAACCAAAGATGAGCTTTACATTCACTACATGTATAATAAATATGATATATATACACACATTTATTGCGAGATCGAATTTTAGCTCACATCCTCTATTGGTCACGCTTGGTTCAGCAATACATTTCTTTTTATACATTTTTCTGCAATTTTTGACAGTTGCTTCGAATTATTTTGCTTAAGCGTCTGAAAGAAGAAGGCAAAATACGAGGAGAACTATTTTGTTGTAGACATAAAATTTATTAAGCAACAGATTTTATTAGATGGTTCAATTTGTCCTGCGATTAAATTTTGGGAGTAAAAATATGCGAATCAATTTCCCGCTTTGTCCCGTATGTTGTGTATGTGCTCCTATACATATATACACATATGCTATTAAAATTGTGTGAAATGAGGAACCACCTAATAATTTGTGACGCCCAGAGGCCTGTTCGCATGAGCATGTTCTGCCTCTGATATTTGTTGTATGTACCATAATTTATTATTATTATTGTACCGCATGCCGTTCGTTAAATAAAGAATTTTTTCTTTCATCGGTTTGGTTACTTTTTGCCCCGTGACCTGCATGAATCATTGTTGCATGCTAAATTATTTATCATACATTATATCCTTTATGCGACATAAGAGTGAATTGTCCATAGTATATTTTGTCGAGAGCTTATGTACAATTGATTTATACGATGCGGAATACAATCTTGAATTTTATATATATAGTGTGTACTAATATCATATATTGGGTTTGCTTTTTAATGAAGGTTGCTTTTGGGAATCAAAGTAGCCATAGTTAGATTAGCATATTTCATTGGTTGTATAACAACAATGTAACAGAGGCGGAACAGTCATTGACAATAAAAATTCTGCGCAATCTAAATTCCCATTAGAAACTCATCATTAGAATTATGAAGTATTATAATTGTAAGTGAAGCTGATTTAATACGTGTTTTATTAAGCTTAGACTATTGGATTACATTCTAGGTTTTGCAGCAGAAGGGTTCACGCATGTAATGTCTAGATCCGTCCTTGTTTTCCCTTGCCTCCTTTAGTTTGATCAACTACGCTGCAACAAGATGAGAAGACTGCTTTCGTTTTTACATTTAAAATGTTAAATTGTAAGACCCAGACTTTTTCCATTATATTCTCTCTATTCCTATAGATAATATTAATCTACAGGGACATTACTGTGCAAAGAGAGAGAGAGAGAGAGAGAGAGAGTGAGAGTGAGAGAGTGAGAGGATAAAGAAGTTTTATAGATATGTATTTATTGCATAGCAAGATTGTACATGAAGCTTTAAAAACCGAAAGTATCACGTTATTATTAATTTATTCCTCTTCAGTAACAGAGTGTCCAGAAGACAAAAAATGTCGATCTCACGAAAGGGATAGTTTAATAATTTCGTACAGTTTATACACGTATAATCGCTATACAACAGACATGAAGCAAAACCTTCCTTTTTCTATAAGCGCACCTATCTGCTTTAAAAGCAGGTATGCTATATAGTCAAAGAACATAGTTATATTATTAATAAACATTGTTCCATAATGGCTGCAGTTGTGTTTTAGCTTTATCAAATACTTTTAATCGACTATGGTATTTGTGGATGAGAAGAGGGGGGGGGGAGGCAATCGGTTTTACACAAATTTCTACAACGGCGGTAGTATTTGTCTTCGGTAGATGATACATAGTAGAGATTGTCATTTTTGTACTAAATTGTACAAAAAGAAAAAAAAATTCTGTTCCCCACATCCGTGTCCTTATCATAACATAAAATGTCTAAATTACTTACCTTCGCACTGCCGCTAAAAATAATATTTGTATACCTAACGTGATAATTTTCAAAACCCAAAATGCATACTGATAACTAATGAATATGTAAAGCTGACTTTATACATGTATTGTTAATATGAAAAGGAATTTTTTCTAAACAAAGCAATTTTATTACACTACTTATTAAGGATACAAGTTTGAGATATATGTGGAAAAAAAAGTAGAGGCTTAATCTTCGAAAAAAACAATCGTGACAGAAATTTTAGGAAGCAAGATAAGCATAACATGATGTAAAAAATTTCGAGTAACATCCATCACACATATACACATATATATATATATATATTTCACATAAGATACGAAAGCTTAAAAAAGACAGAATGCGATTTCGTTGCCACGCACCGATGAAACATAATATAATCAGAAAAAAATTCAATTATTTTCCTTCACAAATATCCGCGGTTGCAATATGATCTCCTACATCCGTAATAATGAGATCATTTACAACAGATGTAGGTTGTCGATTGCCGAGGGCCTATTAAGAAAGTGTCCTAGACAATATATTCATATTTAAAGATGTTAAATGGAAGGACGTATGTAATATTGGCTTGTTATAGATATGTCATCAGTATTGTACACGTGCGAAATTATTATGCCACGTATACACGATATTTTTCTTTGTGTACAAAACTACCAAAAAAAAAAAAATAATGGATTACATTACGCGCCATTGGTACTTGCTATTAATTGTTTCATACAGACGAAAGAGATACCCACTGTTAAAATGATACATGTAACTATATCATGTATCAGACATTCTCATGCAAACACAGTGAGAAATATGTAATACGATTGCGAATTGGCCGACAACAATTCATTTGGTACTGCGAAATTTGACACAGAGACTTTAGGACCAATATTGTTAATCTTGCGTGCTATGTACAGTGTTGTTTAGACTAATGTAAGGCATTATTTTCTAGCTCAAATTCGTGTATCTAATCATTAATTTATAGTCGGTATTAATGTTCATTATTATCACATTATACATGCGAAGACACGCCTCTTCACTCGTGTAAAGTTTGTACTTTCATAGGTAGAGATTTCTAATGATAGACAAATTTATTGCTTATTCAGTGTTTGGCGTTAGGGAACAAGATTATATTGACATTCATTAAATACTAAAATTATAACGATAGAAAATTATTAAACCGGGTAAAAGGGAGTTATCGTATATGGAAGTACTGCTCCATTTGCATACAATGATTATTTTACATTTCAAGTTGCATTCATTTGAGAATACATCTATTAAGTGCGAGTGATTACAACTGTATGCGAGTGCTTTTAATAATTTTGGATTTAGTTTTGCCGCACGATTAGAAGCACCGAGTTTCCAAAACAAATTACTCTACATATAAATATTCTCAGTTAGAAATCTTAGTGAAAAAGCGTTTCCACATGTGTATACATATTCGTCCGGTCATTGTATGTATGCAGATGTACATCGTAATCAAAATTTATTTAATGGTAATTTAAAATATAAGAATTCTGGTATAATAAAGATATAGAATTTTAGAACTTTCTATGCAATAACTCTTATCTAGTAGTGCAATTCACGGTAAGCGACGAACGGAAAAATAGATATTTAACATTGTTAATTATTTTTCGCCGGTGCAGTCACAGTCTCATATATATATATACATATATCTCGATAAATTATCTAAACTGAATTACTAAACAACTTGCGCATTAAATAGTAATTATTTACACAGGCAACTATTGACATTATATTATTGATAGGCGAGTTCTTATATATTAAGTAGCCCTTATAGTGTGTGATTTGTAAAGTGAGATAAAAAAAAAATTAAATGCAGATTGTTTGTATTAATTGTAACTTATATGAAATAAAAGATTTATTGTACTATTAAAATTGGACAGAGCTTTTTGCTTGTATTTCCTATTTATTATGCAATTATATCCATAGCATTATTGTACAAATCCATAGATGTATATATATGTATCCAAAATGATGCACACATACATCACTTTTCAATTAATAAAAATATACTTACATAGTATTGGTATAAATTATAAATTCTTATAAATAAATAAGCATTATTTTATATAATATATATTAAGACAAATTCTAAATGTTGAAATAACAATAAATTCTTAAAAATACATAAGATATAATCTCTTTAAGGCATGTTTGCTATTGTTTTTAAAGGTTGATCAAGATAGTTAGCTAATGCCTGTGCTTTCTCTCGCAACAAGCCAAATCCTACGTTTTCTTTTGCATATAAACATAAGAGTAAGTTAGCTACCTCTGTAATAACAACTTTCCCTTCCTGTAAATAGAAAAAATGTAACAGATTCTTGTTGTATAAAATGAATTTTGTTTTAGGTATATCTTACCATACAATCCATTAGAACAAATTGTAATTCGTCTTCCTTAAAAGCAGTTCTTCCATTTTTTTCATAAGCTGTCCAAATGTTACTCGTAATAGCAGCTGTGACTCTCGCATCCTTATCTCCATAACCACTGTAAGCTAACAGTCCACCGTCTCTATTTAACAATCTGAAATATTATTTATACCAATTAGATATGGCTCATTTTGATGCATTTCATAAATATTGTAGGCATTATAGACATAATCATCAATTAAAAAGAAGTATACAATACTCTTATTTTGTGAAATTATTGTTAAATAAGTGTTAAAAAGAGCACTTTAGAATAAAATATTATAAATAAGTTTATTACAAAATTGATTACAAATAGTAGCATATACTTGTTTATCTTTGCTAAAATCTTACAAAGTATTTTCCACACCGCCGGTGTTGGCTTGACTAAGAACTTGCGTGAGTGCTTTCGGCTTCAGCATATTTCTGCTAATATTCTTCAATTTTTTTGTTCTTAAATTCAATTTAATTATTACATATATTGTATTGTAATACGTACAAAATTTATTTTAACTTTCCAGATTCTAACTTTGAAATCAATCGTTATCAGCATTTATCATTGAATAGGACATGACACTGTTCACACAATAACTGTCAGAAAAGAGAAATAAGAAGTTTATTCGCATCGCATGCCCCCATTGAAATATATACCCACGGACTAAGGAATAGAGGGACGGAGCACAAGCTATACCGGGGGAGCATGTTTGTGGCGGGGGGGGGGGGGTCGGGCCATATTCGTTTAATAATCACCACACATTGGGCTTGTTCGTTTTAGCTGCACTGGGGCAGCTCTGGGTCTGCTCTAAACAAGATAATACAGGACAAACTATTTATCTGTCCTGTATTATCCTGTGTAGAGCAGACCCAGAGCAGCCCCAGTGTAGCTAAAACGAACAAGCCCATAGAACTCACTATTTGCGTATGTGTGAGAAATGAAAGTCAGATTCTGCGCGCAATAAACAAAATAGGAAATAGGAATAATTATTAAATATTAGAAATAAAAAATTGGAATTATTTATTTTAAAAATAAAAAGAATAGAAAAAATTAATGCATGAATTAAAAATAAAAATTGGAACTAATTAATATATTTTATTCTTTTGTTAAATGTAAAATAATTTCTCTTTTTAATATTAAATGATTATTGCTATTTCTAATATTTTGTCTACTGTATGCAGAGCCTCAGAGTAATAAAAGTTAAAGTATTTTATAAAATTTATAGTACAACAATAATAAAACCGCCTAATCTCTTTACGCTTGTCACTCATTATGTCTAGTGGCACCACTACACGAGTGTAACCATGTCACCGACACAGAGGGCTTGTTCGTTTTAGCTGCACTGGGGCAGCTCTGGGTCTGCTCTAAACAAGATAATACAGGACAAACTATTTATCTGTCCTGTATTATCCTGTGTAGAGCAGACCCAGAGCAGCCCCAGTGTAGCTAAAACGAACAAACCCAGAATCTCTGTGTGAGAATCGCTACATCAATATGGCGGAAAGCAGTCCCCCCCGCACGCTTGAATTACCATCACCTCTCGCCTAAACTAAGACTTTAGACTCAGTCCCTCTATTCCTTAGTCCGTGGACCAAACGCTCCCTCCTGTTTCTTTTTACTCAATGAATTAAAGGCTCTCTATAGAAGACATAACCTAATCGTCATAAACTGCTCTACATAAACTTCTCAGGCATGGACATAGGAATATAGGGACGGAGTGTAACGTCGCGAGGGGAAAACCACTGAAGGAAAGGGACGAAGTAAACTGTGCACATTTTTGATTGGCTACTATTTGACGCAAGTGCAGTTGGTCATTATTTGACGCAAAAATATTATGCAATTTGGGCAGATATAATGAGCATTTGAAGTTATATCAAGAAAAAACATTAATTAAAATTGTTATTTTAAATATATTTTGTGAATATAAAAAATGGTGCAGTGTTTTGTACAGTCTTGTAAAAATAGATCCGACTATCAAAATTGGAAACAAAGTAATAGCGGAAATAATGCAAAAATAACATTTCACAGGTATTGAAATTATTTATTCATATTAAAGTTAATATTATATGTTTAAAATAATATTATATATTTTATTTTAAGAGTATAAGTTGTTAAAAATATTGTTTTTTTTTCTTAGTTTTCCCAAAGATCCTAAAACTCGTACATTGTGGTTAGATATTTTGGAAATAAGTTCATCATCTATCCCAAGTACAGCTCGTATTTGCTCTGTCCACTTTGAAGAGAAATTTTTTGACAGAACATGTTTGATAACTCCACTTAGACGAAATGCATTACCTAGGCTGAGTTCCACTTGGTGATCGCAACGCTCGCGAACATTATCTATCTTTCTTTAACTTTCGATGAAAAACAAAGATAAAATGATTCCACAAGCGTTGCGATCGCCAAGTGGAACGTACCTCTAGTGTATAATAACAACAGCATATGTATAACGATAACCAATCAGATTCAGGCACAGTATCATGGCGGACCCCCCCGCATTTTGGCTTCACTCCCCTCGTCTATCAACCAAGTTTACGCTCCGTCCCTATATTCCTATGTTCATGTCTCAGTTCAGTGACAAAGGGCTGAGAGGGCAAGAAGTGGGGGAATAGACCATAAATGGCGCAGGCAAGAATCAAGATCTATAGAGAGAAGGTTATCTCATGCGCAAAGAGGGACGAGCGGCAAGAGGGGCAAATGCAGAGAGGGGCGAGTGGCAAGAGTGGCAAATGCAGAGGGACGAGCGGCAAGAGGAACAATGATGATCTCATCGGCGAACAGAAGCTATCTCAGACAGCTACTGACTTAGTTTACACCGATTGTTTAGTACGCGTATCAAATACTAAATCTGCTTCTCCGATAGGTATAAATCGTTTAGTGTAACATCTACACCAATCAAAGAAGCTGATTTAGTATTTGATACGTGTACTAAACAATCGGTGTAAACTAAGCCACTGTTTGTCGATGAGATCATCATGCTCTCCCTTTCCTTCATCGCCCTTCGCCTTCAAGCTGTTTCTAGCTCCTCCCTTACTTCATCGCCTCACGCCACAAGCTGTTTCAAGCTCCCCCCTTCTTTCATCGTCCCTCGTCAACAACCGGTTTTATTGAAGTAACCTTCTCTCTATAGATCTTGGGAGTCATCATACGAACAATATAAACGAGTGGTTAGACAAAGAAAGGTAGTGAGATTGTTTTGATTCATTTCTTCGTAAGCTTATTGAAAACCTCCATTTTTTATATACATACGTGTAGAGTATACATATGAATATATACATGAATAGACTTTAATGAAGAGAGTCTACAACAGAAAAAAATAAAATAATCCAAATGCTCTCTTTGTATGATCGCATGTTGAGCAGCACGGCGTTTTCCAGATTGTATAGAGTTCATTGAATTTATGTAAATAATCAAAATATAATAAAAAGAATTTTCACACAACATTTTTTATTTAATAAAAATTGCCAAAAAACGTTTCTATTTTTTTATGATTAAAGTAGTTTCTTCTCGTAAAGTCCAATTCATAAAGACCATTTCCGGCAACAGCATACATATGAGAACTATCAAATTCTAAAGCATATATTGTGCCATTTATATCATACGTCTAAAAATTTTCAAGAGAGTTAATAATAATTCACTAATAAAGTACAAGATACGAAAAATTTGAAAATAATACAAACTTGAATGGCAACACTTTGTCTCTGATCCCACATAACAACTATATGATGCCCTGTTATAAAAGTGTTTATATTATCTGATGAGCAACAGCGTGACGGGAGATATTTGGAAGAATCCCATGTACGTACAAATTCGGATGTTCTGAAATCACAGTAACAAATATAAACAAATTGAATGGCTAATTGATATTAACAATAAGATTTATTACCTCAAATCTATTTTTTTAATAGAATAATCAAAACGCATGAGAATAGTGTGAGTATCCTCCCATATTAGTTGCCGACAAGAATCATCATATTTTATATTCATTATCTGATAACTAAAATTCCTTTACATTAGTTTGTTGTATATTCCAAACATACGTACTTGGTTAGGTTCATATATATTGTATTTTTACAGTTTTATATTTTTTAGAATTTTCGGGTTATCAAATCGTTTTTGTAAATTATAATTAGAAATGTTATTAAATCGGATCATATAATAGTGTCTGTATAAACATAGTCCATGAGTACATTTACACAACGTCAATCGGGTTTCATAACTATGGATGTTACTATATCCAATTGAGATTGACGTGTAAATGTAGTCAATGTTCAATCAAACATTTGTAGAAACCGATTAATTAATTGAAACATAACTTACCTTTTATCAAAATCGTAAATTAGAAACGATGACTTACGAGGAGGAAAGCCTGAACAATCAGTGGAAGTAACCGCAAATTTTGTTCCTTTAGGGTCAAATGAGATTGATTCAATATAACATCTGTTGCCACAAAATATTTCGTTTTCTTCCGTACAACCTTTTCTATCATCTGTATATTTCAGAATCTACAAAAACAAACTTTTTACGTACTATATTAACATAGCATTATAGCAATATTTCTTTAATCTTACCTTTAATGAATTTGTAGAATTAGTTATAATGTGTTGCGATGTTGCGTTTATTTGATTAATTTTATAATGCACATTATGTATTTTTAAAGGTTTACGTAAAAAATCCTTTTGATTATCTTTAATTTCCCAGCGATTAATAATACCTTTTCTGCAAGAAATTTTGTCAAAAAAAAAAAGAAATAAACATAAAACACAGTTCATAAATAAATACTCACCTGTCGCCACTTATAATATAATTATCGCAATGAGTATAAGTTTCAATAAAAGCCTTGTCAGTTTTCAGAATATTTTTATCGTTTTTAATTGTACCGTTCTTTGCGCGTTTGAAAGCAAGAAGATCACCTCTACAATATGACCAAACCATATTTCTAGTTATTTGTACGGTTCGATTACTATACTGAAAATGATAGAAATAGGAATGTCCTTGCTCTATATTGATTTCCCCAATTTGATATATGTGTCTCCTTTTATATTCTTTATGTATCCAGTTGTAACTTATAATAAATTTAGAATTTTTATCTAAAGATAATAGTGGTTTACATCTGTAAAAAAAAATAAGACATATGTTCTTCAATGTGATCTTATGTAAAATCATGAATATCTATCTTCTGAAAATATGTAATTATTGAAATATATTTAAAAAAATATAATTAAAAAATTAAATCAAGTTTTGCTAAAAACAAGATAAAATGTTATGACTTAAGGAAATCCTAAAGTGGTTTGTTTTATTGATTTTTTTCAAATACACTATACTTTTTTTGGCCGTGTAGAATGAAAAATCTTTTTCTGTAATTAAAGTATATAAGCTAATACACTACAGACGGTCGATTTGAAAAGATTTTTCAAGCCACGCAGCCAAAAAAAATGAAATTACGAAAAATAGAAGCCAAAACAGATATTGTATCTGTTTGGAAAATCTTTTCAAGTCGGCCGTAGTGTATTAGCAAATGTACTTTAATTATTGAAAAGGATTTTTTATTCTATACAGCCAAAAAAAAGTATAGTGTATTTGATAAAAATCGATAAGATAGACTACTTTAGGATTCCCTTAACGTTAATATGTGAAAAAGTTTTATCGATAAATATTGTATTAGACTTGAGAAAAAGTATTTTTGTTAAGAACACTGTTTTATTAATAATTTTAATTGAACAAATTTGGATTAATTTAGAATTGAGTTAATGATGTTATTGCATCGTCTCCGTCAATAAAAAACAAAATAATATAACAAATTGGTTCAGCAGGAAACGTGATGAAAAGAAAATTCTAGAACAATGCTCAGAATTAGTTGAGCATTTTAACCGATTTCCGCGGTTGACGCCTCTTTAGGTTGTATCCCCATGGAGAAAGAAATAGCGGAACGGAACAGTAACGGAACAGTAGAGGAAAAGAGATATGATGAATATATCTCTTTTCAACTACTGTTCCGTTACTGTTCTGTTCCGTTATTTCTTTCTCCATGGGGATACAGCCTTACTTTTCTTTATCGCACACGACGCAGCCACTAGGGTTTCTTTTTGTGTGGTTTTTTTCGTGAACCTATTTTACTGAAAACAAAAAATAATGAATTCCTAATTTAAAAAAATAAAATATGAAAAAGATTAAATTTTTTTGGTTTTTTAGAAGATAAAATAGCCTTTTATGGGCGGTATTCATAGTCCGTTCTTATTCCAGAATTATCTTACTGTCTTAAGATATTAATATGGCTTTCTGATTGCTTCATAGCATTTTAGGATCATATTTAAGAGAATTTTAAAGATAAGAACAAACTCTGAATAACGCCAATGAACTAAAAAAAAAGAAAGAAAGAAAGGAAAAAAAAAAGAGAGAGAGAAAAGAAAAAAACGCGTTAGCAATAGTACCTTATTAGTGACATGGAAATCTATTGAAATATTTCCACATAATAAATTTGAAAATAGAAAAATATTTTTAATAAATTTAAATAAATTTTCATAAATTTTAATAATAAAGAGAGAACATTCCACTCATAAATTAATAGTGTCGCTTCTAACACTGGACCGAGCAACTTTGGCGCGCCTGATGAGAAGAGGAAAGGAGACGTCAGCGCGTCACGGAAATCGGCTGAAATGCTCGACTATTTCCAAGCACTGTTCTAGAATAAATTGAAATATAAATAAAATTAAGTTTTATTTAACTTACCGTTCACGAAATTTTTCCGATTTCTGATTCGTGACAAACAAATGTTCACTTTTTTTCATTAGTATATATTTTGCCACATTATTAAATTGTATGCATACCATACTAATCTGTGATAAAGTATAAACATCGCAGAAATTGAAAATTTTTTCTAATATCTCGTTTGGCAAATTATACGAAACAGACATTTTTGTCTTCCTAATTGAACGTTACCACGTGAGAATATAGATATTATAACCGGTATGTTCACTTCACTGAACGTTATACTTTTTTATTTTTAAAGTGGAATATCTTCAGCTTAAGGTTACACGTGTTAACGATATGGTGGCTACTGAATGTTCTCCGATTAAACGACTCGACGACTGGACAAATATCCGTCTAGTTCCTAATATAATTGTAACGGTCAGAGCCATTGAGTAAAAAGAAACAGGAGGGAGCGTTTGGTCTTAAAAGTGCGGACGGAAGTGACTATATAAAGTGGTCGCTCAAGATGGCCGCTCAAGGGCGCCAATATTGAATGACTTGTTATGTTTAATTAGAAAATAATGTACAATTAAAAGAAAATAACTATAATATGCAACAATAATACCAAATTTTAATGGCGTTTTTTATTAAAATTGCACTCGTGCAGTATTTCCATAAGAGCAATGTTAAAATCTAAAATCTAAATTTATTTAAATCCTTCGTCCTTACAAAAATTTATCCATGCATTTCTTTAATCCGGATTTTTCGGAAACCTGTTTGTGAGTGAAATTATTTAGTAATTATTGTGAATCTACAATTTCACAATACTATTACATATGATTATTAAATACTTCCAAATAAAAAATACTCATTATTGTTGATAATACTAACCGATGAAACGTTATTCCATGATTTCGAGCTGCTGCTGTTATGCCACAAGCTCTACAGTATACCATTTTGATCGTTTATTTCCATACACTGTTGCATAAAAGACTATACACTGCATATTAATGCGTACGACGTACGGTATGCCGCTTGCCGCTATGCTCGAGCATTCCCTCTCACTTTCAAAAGTGGTCGCTCAAGATGGCTGCCATGACGTACATCCGTCCGCGGATTTACCTA